GACAAGGTGCCACATAAAAGGCTTGTATAAAAAAAATTAGCTCTATATATGTGGGGGATAAGTTAGCAGATTGTATAGAAGAGTGGCTGGATGGAAGAAAGCAGAGGGTTGTTACAAATGGAGTTCAGTCACACTGGATTAATGTCACAAATGGCATACCTCAGGGCTTATTCTTAGGACCTTTGCTCTTTTGATTTACATCAACGACATAGATGAAGAAATGATCCATAAATTACTTAAATTTGCAGATAATATTAAGGTCTTTGATGTTGCTAGCTGTGAAGAGGATGCTGCTGATTTACAAAAGGATTTAGATCATTTAGTGAGTTGAGCAAATAAATGGCAGATTGGTTTTAATTATAATAAATGCAAGGTAATGCATGTGGGTTATCATAATTTGAATTATAAATATCATTTGGATGGGAATAACCTTAACAGTGTTATGAAGGAAAGGGATCTTGGTGTATTAGTCATCAGTCTCTTATAGCCATCCAAGCAGTGTATTGTTGCTAGTGGTAGGGCAAAACAGATTTTAGGTTGTATCTACAGAAATATTGAATACAAGTCTAAAGAGGTTATAATTTCATTGTACAGGTCACTGGTTAGGCCATATATAGAATATTGTGTTCAGTCTTGGGCTCCTTACCTTAGGAAAGACATTGAATTGTTGGTAAGGGTTTAGAGAAGGGTTACTAGAATGCTGCCTGGGATGGACGGGTTCTCATACGAGGAGAGGTTGAAATCTCTCAAATTGTTTTCTCTTGAAAAAAAAAAAGTTATGGGGGAATTGATTGAGGTGTTAAAGATTGTAAAAGGAATTGATAGTGTTGATGCATCATCTTTCTTCATATTTAACAGTGAGAATAGTAGGACTAGGGGCCACAAATATAAATTTTGGCAAGGTAGGAGTCATCTTCAGCTAAGACAGTTTCATTTTTCTAAAGGGTGGTTGGCCTTTGGAATGGGTTGCCTTCAGATGTTGTAAAGACAGTAAATTTAAGTGAGTTTAAGAAAAAGCTTGATAAGTATATGAATGATAAGGGCTGGCTTTAAGATTATTTTAATTTAACTTAAAGGATGGAATGGCCGAGATGGGCCAATAGGTTCCATGTTGCCCCAAAACATTATGTTATGTTAAAGCTGGATATGTGAGTGAAGTAATCATATACAATGTGTGAAAAGTTCAGTGCATGGACTGAGAATTTGGATAGCATATGTGCATGTCAGAGACATCACAAACTCACTGAAGATATGTGTAGCTGGTGTAGAATTTGTTGTTGTACTGTAATACAATACTCAAGGTCTAAAGTTATCTGTTTGGAACATTAGTCCCATTAGCATAGGTCTTACAGTAGTGTGAGCCAAAGTTCCCACATTCAAGTCCTAACCAGGGTAGACTTCTTAACATCCTAATACATTATATTGATGCCCAGATAGTGGTTATCTCCTGAGCGTCATGAGTAAGTGATGAATCTAACCATTTCTGCTCATGCTTGGTGTGATACATATATATATATATCTGTGTTTGGGATGATGTGTTTGGTCTGGAGGTGCCAGATGGTTTGCTGGAAGTTTAAGAATACTAGTCTGTAAGATACAGGATGAGTCTTGTTTCAGTAAGGGAGTAATTCAGTGACCAGTAAGAAGAGCTTCCTGCTTGGAATTAAGTTTTGATACCTCAGTTTGTTAGAGTATTAGTCTCAGAACTCCAGTGTGAACTCAGTGTCCTGGATTCAAAATTAAATAATAGGTTGAACAATCACCAAGTTTTTAAAAATTTTAATTCAAAAAAGGTTAACATTTTGAGCTACCACTCCTAATCTGATCGTACAGCTGACAATCTGACAAAAAGTGCTAGCTCAAAACATCATCCTTCTTTGAATAAAAATATAAAAAAACTTGACGACTGTTCAACGTATAATTATTTGATCTTGATATTTTCATCGCCTATGCGATTTTAACTATATTTGTCCTGGATTCAAACCCCAGTTAGGGTAGATTTCTTAACATCCTAATACATTATATATTATTTTTTTAAATCACAAACTTTAGCCTCAGCTTAGCTAAGTGACCTACCTCATTTTCTCATAAGATTGACTTAATATGTAACATACCCAAATATTTGTATTCACATTTTTACAACCAATATTTTCTCTTTTGTAAGCTTATGTTATTCAACCTCAACACTTTTGTTTTTAATCATTTTAACTTGGACTTGATGTGTTTTAACTACTTATAATACACCTATGTACTTTAGCTTTCTTACATTATAACCTAGAGACATTATTTAATCTCCTGTTTTTGGATTTTTTTCCCAAAATGATTAAGATTTCTCAAGTGTGTTTAAATACACCATTTTGGCTTTCGTGTCTTTAATTGTACACATTACATTGTTTTATAACCCATACATTCCCACCATCTAGATATGATAGACAAATTTAAACATTATAGAAAATGTGATAATATTTTGATGTACATGCTGTAATATATTTTAGAAAAGGTTATGATCAGGAGACCCAAAATACCAAAAGCTTAAAAACAGAAATAATATAATTATAGAAATAAATATAGAATATATGGTCTCTCTAAGAACATGAATCAGAACAACTTACCTGTGGTAGATTAGCTTGTAGCTGACGAATAAGTGAGTCTCTCTCCTTTTCTACTTCTACTAGCTTTCCTTGACTTTCTTGTAATGTGTCCTGACTTTCACGAAGAGTTTCCAGCAGTTTATCTCTCTCGTCCAGCATATTGACCATGAGCTGTTCAAAATTTGCTTCATCTCCGGTAAGCTGACCACTTCTTTGAGTAATACTGTCCTCTGATATTGTAGGCATCACATCACACATCATCATATTCCACATTTTGTTTTTATGGTTCTTAAGTTACTTTCACATGAAAACTATAACTTGTACTTTTTTATCGTTCTAGGTAGTTCTTGTGCAAGTTGATGTCTTTAACCACAAACACTAATTTTTTGTTGGACCCCCAAAGTTAGTTTTGTACTGAATTTCACGACACTGATTATTTGACTTTAACTCAAGTTATGGCATATTTGTTCCCAGTGTACTTAGCTTGAAATTCAAATAACTGAATTTCATTTGGTCTAAAATAAGAATGTATGACAATAGTACAAAAGAAAAGCTATATCATCAGTTGCAAAAAGTTATAACCAGTAACAGCTTACTACATATAAGCTCACTTCTGGTAGTTTTAGTTAATTACAACATCAGCACATTGATAGAATTTCCTGAATGCCAAATCTGATTATAAAACTCAAACAAGTCTTAAAACTACAAAAAACCTATGGATTAGTTCACAACTTACACATTACAGGTATATCTGTGGGGCTGCTTTCACTTTCAGTTTTACTATGAGTATGACTATGACTGTGAGTAAAGCTTAACCAATGTTCATATTCTTCTTAAGAGTTGACATCAAAATAGATTGACTAGATTACTTAACCTAGCCTAAAGGTCAAAAACCATTACATTTTCATGTAACAAAATATTATAGAAATAATAAATGTAATAACCACTAGCAAAAGTTTTGGTTTTCAAATAAGTAACTAAACCTTAATAGACCTATTTTAGCTCCTTAGAACTTCATCAGTTCAAGCATAGTCACACACTGCAAAGGATCTCTCCTTGGCAGCCAAATTCAAAATACTAAATAACCATAAACTTATCATTTCTAATTTACATCCCCTAAGTGACTAAGTTAGCAAGTATTGCACTCTTTATACTTTAGAGCTTAAAAGTAACAGATCTAAAAAACTCTTTCTATTAGAAGAAAAAAGGGTCATGTTTTTAATTTTTTACCAAAATATTTCTTTTAATTTCAATAAGACTAACATTACATATACACGAACTTCCTTCTCTACTGCTGGAAGTGGCAACAATTTCTTCATCTTCCTCCTGTTCTTTTTAACAGTTCAAAAGGTTTTTCAACATCATCTACCTCTATAATCTAACGACTAACGTTACCGGCAAGCATCACTAACTTATTCAGTCACCGACGCTTTATAATATATTTTACCTCAATTCATAAAGACCAAGGCGCTATTGTTAACTGATTCCTAACAAGCTGAATACATTTCTCTACTATTTACGACTGCAGTTTCATAAAATTGTTCATTTTTACAAATGCACAACAAATTACCAAATTTACAGACAAATCCCAGCTCTTCACGACACCCAAAGCCCAACATAATGACATCCTACCGATTCCGGAAATAAAGCACTTAATTCTGTATCCTAAACTTACGTCATCTTTAATCTCAACCTCATAATATATTTAGATAAAATGTTTCTGTAACGTAATATAAATGTACTAACGGTAATACTAGTTTTTTTAAGTAAAATTTTAAGTCATATTTATACACCCAAAATATTCTCTGTATAGAAGAAAAGATAAACTACAACACTAAATATATTACAGAGTGCACTGCTTTGCACAGCTCGGCCACGGCAAAATGGCGGAAATGTCTGATGGTCTGGTAAATTACTGTAGACTTTATTTTATTTTAACTCCACATTTTGCATATTATATTCAAAATCAGTATGCCTTTCGATGATATAATTTTTTATAAGTCCAGAAACTTGGAGGAGAGAGTGATAGAAAATGCCGAAAGGTGGGAAGAAAGGATTGTGGAATAAAAGTATTAAAACACAAACAGGTAATAATTAAGTAATATTAACACTAATAGTGATATTAGTACTACTACTTCTACTAGTGTTATAACTAACGAACACGAAGGCCAGGGTAACATTAGTTAATAGTGATAAGTAAAAAGTTAAAACTAAGTAACTAAAATTTAAAAACTAACTCTAACATTCACCGATTCCGAAAGTAACAAAGTGATTATAAATCACATTTTTAATATTACTACTTTTACTCACTGTGGCAGTGCTAGTACTAGTAGTACAGTGCTACTCTGCTAGTTCTAAGCCTTGGCTCTAGACTAAAGTCTGAGTTGTATATAAAAATAGTTGAAGTAATGAGCAATTAAGTAAATTAGTTCTAGCTGAATGAACTTTAGTCTTCATGGTGTTAGGCTTAAATACTTATACCCACATGTTTTTAAACAATTCAATAGTGGTTCCAGCCTTAAGTAATTGGGGAAGCTAAACTAAAGATATTTATTTTTTTGTACATTAAAAAGTACATGAAAAATTGTGCAGTCTGGGCATTTTAATGCATACTGTATCACATAACATTTTTTAAACTTTAATTCTATTAAATGCAAACTAATGCATTTTGGGTTATAAGTTGGATCGTGTGTTTAATATAAATCATAAATGGGAACACAGTCAGTAAAATACTCTTGGCTCAGTACTGGGTAAGGTGCCGAAACCACTGAAACAGTACTTTGTTTCTTGTAGTAAAGCTAACAGAATTATAAGGTGTATTTATTACATGTTGAAAGGGTAATTATCTTTTAACAATCACTTATTTTCTCCTAAGGAAAGAAGGGTAAAAGGTGATGTTATTGTGCAAGTTTATCTAAGGAATCACTATGATAAAGGACTTGTATCTTTGTACTATATTTTATAGGTAATAAGATGATAGGAAAAGACAAAGATAGGTTAGGGTCCAGTAAAAACAGTTTAATTTTTCCTAAACTGTTACAGGGTGATTCATTTAAACAATGAGTTGCCACTGTCAGTAGTGGAAGCCAGCATTTTACAGAAGTTTAAGAGGGGAATCAATAATTTCCTGAAAAATAAAGAGTGGGCTTAAATTTTCTCAAGACCAAATGTGCAAGAGTAGCCTTAAAGAATCAAAAAAGTTCCTTATTGATCATAGGTTAACCCTTTCAATGCAATAAAAACAATAATAGAAATAGAATGGGTCATATTTACAAATACTAGGTAAAAAGTGCTTTTTTTTAGATTGTACAGTTGAAAGGAGGTTGTGTCTTGTATCAAAATTAGGGGACACTGTGGAAATTGAGGGACACCCCTTTGATATATTGATTTTTTTATTGAAAAGTATTACTAAGGATGAACTGTTATAATTAGTTGATGGAATATGTTTGTGTTATTTCTGTGTTACTAGTTACAGTTACACATGAAACAAGTTATTGTTATAAGTCTACAACACCCTTTAAGGTTCCAAATCTTAAGCAGTGTGTATGGATGTGGCACATTGGACATGTAAAATAGCCATGTTCAATCCAGAACATTATTGATAGGCACATCACTAGCATGTTGACGTTGACATTGTAAGAAGTAAATTGGAGGTTTCCTTGAGTTGTTTTAGTAAAGTAATTTTGTTGTATTTTATTACTTGTCAGTAACATAAATCATACCACAAATGCTCTAATCCTTTCTTTTTATGTGTACACTTACAATAATGAGTCATAAACACCACAAAGAAATGTAAAAATAGTCATGCATCTGGTCATGGTCAGTGTGGCTGGTGCTTTAGTTGCTTACAATGTAGGTGAGGCTTGCTGATGTGATAGACAAATGATTAGCTTCATTTTGAATCTAGTAGAATTCCATACTTGTGACCATATGATTTGTCAAAAGTGAAATTAATGTAGCCATGTTTATTAAAATATAGACCTACTTGTGTAACTTTGCATTTGACAGATTTAGCTTAAAAAAGAAATATATATATAAGAAATTGGCTAGTGAATTTAGTTGATCAAGAATCTCTAAGATGTAATAACAAGCTATTTAAACCTACCCATCTTTCTTTCAAAATTGTCACTGACAATATCATACAAACAGGTTGTTTTCTAGATTGATAATAACAAGACTGTTTAAGCATTCTTGTCCTGTGGTTTTCTTGAATATATTTTGATCTGCTTCAAACAAGAAAAGCTTTGTTCTACTGATGTTGCAGATATGGTTGTGACTAGGCACAGCAAGTAGTAAAGTTAGCATATTGCTCTATAATAATTACTTTTTGCTTGTAATACTTCAAAAGAAAGAAAAACCCATTTTACTAACTTGATTTTTTTTATAGAGTGCTACGGGCTACCTCTTCATATGATCCATGTCAAAGAAATGGCCATACCTTTTTAATGCTTCAAGAACTTCAATGGGAAATTTACTCTTTATATGAGCAAATATTGATGGCTAAAGAGACTTCAAGTTCAATGCCCCTAAATTAATGAAACTAATGGTTAATTTCCTATGTTGTCTGATTGAGCTGGATGATTATATTCAACTGAGACTTGTATAGTTGGAATATTCAAAAATAGAAATAATTGGAAAAACCAATTTCAATTATTTGATTATTTCCAGTCGTTGTGATACTAATCAATCAAGCTGAACAATGCTGAAATAATAATGAGGAATCATAATGGCACTTGGCACTATTTCAATTACTTGGATAATTCATAAATGGTAATTATCAGAAACTCTAAATATTTATTAGTTGATTATTTTACATTACACTATTCAGTGTAATTGATGCTCATACACAATCGAGTTACTCTCCCTGCTATGTTGTCTAAAAAATATTTCATTATATTGTCATTGTCTGCAAACTCTCCTACTTCTGACTCTGACACTCTGGAAGGAATCCTTGTACAGTGTTTTAAGTTGTATTCCACAGTCATGTTTGTGATTTTGATTAATGAATTATTCTACATGACACTAATTGATGTAATCTCCCACCTGTACTGTCAGGTACAGGTTCAATATATGCAAACTCTCCTACTCCTGACTCTTGCACTCTGTATAATGTCTCAACTTATATCTTACTGTCATGTTTTTGTGTTGGACTTAAGGCTACCAGTAGTCCTTTTGCAAAAGGTGTCTTTTTCATGTCACCTGCTATCAAATTTGTCGTCTTACAGCTTCTCTTGCCTCTAGCCATCAACATCCCCTGGATAATATCTTGCAGGCAGAGACGTGGATGACCTCCAACACCATTACTTATACCACATTGTAGTTTCATCTGCCCCTGGTTTTCATCCCCCTCTAGTCACCATTCTTAATCTTCACAGAAGCTCTAAGGAAGTAAATTGTTAATTTTATTTTTTCATGGCAGCTCCCACAACCGTCTTATTTATTATTTCTCTATATCTATATACTGGAGATAATAAATCTCGCCGTGTGGCCAGTGTTGCCTCACAAGGAATATTTCTCTCCCAAAATATGCATCAACTAGGGATAAAGGACATGTTAATTCCATCTGCATATGCAATGATTGCTGTTGAAGTGGAATTTTCCACAAGGCTGCTAACAGTATATGTGTGTGTATATATACATTAAAGAATTGAGGAAAAACAAGACAATTGTATGTTTCACAAATACATCATTTATTACGACCATGGTTTCACCAGTAAAGGCATCATCAGGTACAGATTAAAATGTTTTGTAGTAGGGTTTTTATATATGTTTAAACAATGAACCAGAAGTGACCTTGACATTCACTACAGACAAGTAGGGAGAAGCTTAAGTTGGTTTGGTCATTTAGAGTTTTTTTTGGATTTGTTTTTAGAATCTATTTATTTCTAAAATTCTACAAAACATATTAAATATTGGTATAGATATGTTGATGATGTGATTTGTCTCTGGACAGGATCCAAACGTCAATTTATTTCTAAAATTACACAAAACATATTAAATATTTGTCTAGATATGTTGATGATCTGATTTATCTCTGGACAGGATCCAAACGTCAATTTATTTCTAAAATTACACAAAACATATTAAATATTGGTCTAGATATGTTGATGATCTGATTTGTCTCTGGACAGGATCCAAAAGTCAACTCGATAATTTTGTAACTTTTCTAAAATCACAAAACAAATTTATTAAACTTACTATGGAATTTGGAGAAAATTGAAACGTTAATTTTTTGAGCCTAAATACTCACAGAACAAATGGCATACATTCCTTCAAAATCTTCAGAAAGCAAAACATGCAATATCTCACTAACTTATTATGTTCCATAGTTTGTAACACAGACTTATCACTGTACCCTTGTCATCTGAAGATTATGAAACTAGATTAAAAACTATAAAACAAATTGCTGTTAAATGTTTAATAAAATTAAAAGTCAAAACAAAAGTCAATATACCCACGTATTGTACCAAACAACAACAAAATGAAACAGAAATGGTTTAAGATGAGCTACATTGGAAAACCTTCTCACAAAATATATAACACACTGAACAAAGATATGTACACACCAGCCTTCTACTGTAAAAACAACCTAGGAGAAATGTTGTGCAACAACAACACTAGAATCAAAAAGTACAGAAACAGTGGTGTTTACCAATTAATGTGTCAAGACTGCGATTGTGTATACATAGGTCAAACAGGACATTCCATTAGAAACGAGAATTAAAGAACACATCAGAAGTTGGAAATTAAGGAAAAATGGGTCAACCTTTGCATCCCACCTTATTGAATCTAAGCACTAATTTGAACCAGAAATAAACTGTAAAAGTTTACATATCTTGAAAAAAGATAAAAACTGGACAGTCTGGAAATTTTAGAAATAGTTGGATGTCTAAAAACAAATCCAGAAAAAAGTTTTAAACCTCCAAACCACCTTAAGCTCCTCCCCACTTGTCTGTAGATGAATGTCAAGGTCACTTCCAGTTCTTTGTTTAAACATATACATTAACCCTGCTGCAAAACATTTCAGTCAGTACTTGATGGTGCCTTTACTGGTAAAATCATGATCATAATAAATAATGCATTTGTG